CAGAAAGAAGCGTTATTATTATTATTGGCACTTGTTGCTAGTTTTAGCTCATTCTGGGCCTTAGCTTTTCTGACTTCCTCCTTGCAGATTTAGACTGTTTGTTGGTATTCTGCTTTAGTTATGTGACCCTCTTTCCATTTTTTATATTTGATATTTTTGTCCCTCAATTTGTCAGAAAGCTCTATGTGCAACCATGCTACTCATCTGGTATCTTTTGTTTTTCTTTCTCTGTGATATTGTTTTTGCTTGGGCATTCATTAGCTCATTTTTCACAGTTTCCCAAGTTTCTTGTACTGTTTTTCTTTTTACGTTATCCATTCAGGGAATCCTTTATAGTCTTTCTCCTAGTGTTGAAATCAGCTCCTGGGTGGCCATGGCACGCGGCAGCGAGGGCGCAGGGCGACCACCGGCTTGGCAACCAGCTGGCCCAGCCCAAGGGAGGTAAGGCACCCGCTGGGCCCCACGCACGCCAGCAACCCTCCTGCGCCCGCCGCTGCTCCGCTAGCCTTACCTTGGCCACCACACGTTCGGTGCAGTGGGAATCAGACCCAGGCGCTCCTGGGCAGCCATGGCACGCGGCAGCGAGGGTGCAGGGCGAAGACCGGTTGGGCCACCAGCTGGCCCAGCCAAAGGGAGGTAAGGCACCCGCCGGGCCCCATGCGCACCAGCAACCCTCCCTGCACCCGCCGCTGCTTCACTGGCCTTACCTTGGCCACCGCACGTTCGGTGCAGTGGAAGGCAGACCGAGACGCTCCTGGACGGCCATGGCACGCAGCACCGAGGGCGCAGGGTGACCACCGGCTGGGGCACCAGCTGGCCCAGCCCAAGGGAGGTAAGGCACCCGCCAGGCCCCACGCATGCCAGCAACCCTCCCTGTTCCCGCCGGCCTCCCACCTCCCACCCCTGGCCCTCTTTTGCTTACATTTAGGAGTTGCTCAGCAGGGAGGGGTGGAAACATCCAGAAAGCTCGCCTTAGCTGCAGACAACTTGCAACACCGTTTGCAGACTGGGACTTTTACCGGGCTCAGCAGGGCAGAGACAGACTGGACAATTCCTATTGGCTTTCGAAAGCCAATAGAATAGAGTCTCTTGAATAGAGTCTATTCTATTGGCTTTCAAAAGCCAATAGAATAAGAGGGAGTAGCACAGCTAAGGAAAAGGGGGAAAAAATGGCGGACTGCGTTGAAAAGGGGGGGGGAAATGGCGGACTGCGTTGTTTGGCGACCCCCGTGAAATGGTCGTTCGACCCCAAATGGGGTCGCGACCCACAGGTTGAGAACCGCTGCCCTATACCATTTCGGACAAATGGCTGTCCAGTCTCTTCTTAAAAACTTCCAGTGTGGAGCATTCACCGCTTCTAGAGGCAGGGATCTAACAGGGATTTCTTCCAGGATGATTATATCCACATTGTCAATTTTCACTGTGCATTTAAAGTGATAATCAAAGATTTGTTCTATTGCTTTTCTTATTTACAAAGTGAACTTTAAAAAAATGGTATTTTTCTTATGGTGGCAAATCAGCAGTTTATTCCCCCTGTATTTTGTCTATTATTATTTTGATTTTCTCTTCTTGCCAACTAGTTAACAGCCACAGATTTAATCATTCTCAATGTTGACTTTGAATCAATCTACAGACATTTCTGGAACTGCTCAAAATTTTTGCTGAACTTCCTTGCTCTGTAATTCCAAGAGGGTCCTCTCATTCAGATCAGCTTCATAATGAATGTCTGTCCTCTATGATTTATGCTCCCAAAAATCCATTTTATCCTTTATCCGTTTAATTTCTCCACTTAGCTGATAAATCTCCTCCCCCGAGAGCTTGTCAATTTTTACTTCAAGGA